AGTAAGAAAAGGAGCCCAGGAGGAGGGGTGAGGAGACAGACAGCTTGTTTTGTCCCCCTCCCCCCAAAGTTTGGGGCTATTGTCAGGCCAGTCTCTCTCTCCACCAAAGCAGTTGAGCTAGAGTTTTCTAGTTAAATTGGGCTTGGGGTGGGGGCCACAAAGGGCCTATGGTGCCATTTCTGTTTGTTTTCCCAAATCAAAGCCCCAGCAGGGCTCCAATGGTACTGCTGGGCTGCTATTTGAAGAGACGGGGCCATTTCCCAGAGCCTGGTGTGTCAGTTTATGCTCTGAACTTAACCTCACAGGCACTGCACAACAGAGCCTTGAGGGTCTCGAGTCCAGAGGCAAAAGAAATTGTATCTTTTTATTGGCCCATTTAAAGTGTGTGTGGCCATTTCAGAGAATCAAGAGAACACAGCAGAAAGCAACTCCTCAGCGCCTGGCCAGACTAGGCCAGGCTAACAGATGAGGGGTTCAAGGGACTTGTCCCAGCCCCTAGGGTCTGGTACTTACCGGGCTCTTGGTTCTCCCCCAAAGGATTAGGAGCCCCTGGCCTATTCTGTATTTATTAGTGGCAGCTCTGATGCTGAGGCAGGGCCCAGGTTGGCAGCCCAGTCAGGATGTTCCCCTTTGCACTGCTGACCCTGCCTAGCCCTGTAGGTACCTGGCTCTCCTCCCCTCTGAACCCCAGGACTAGGGTGGGCAGGCAGCGCCGTGCTGGGCTCCACTCTGCTCGTTCTCTGCCTTTCATCTTCTATTTCAAACAGACAAACGTGAAATTACTTCTACAGATTAAAGGGGAGAGCGCCTCAGTCATTCCTTATGGCCTCACTAATGGAGGGGGCAGGGCCCCCAAATCTGGAAGTAGAGAGAATTGTGGAGTACACAGCCTTCACCTGGTGTGCACAATGTATGTGTGTGCCTGCGAGAAGGAAAGAGCAAAACCCCTACTCCCCACCCACAATAGATTGCCCTGCCTAGTGTGATATGGCTGGGAAGGCAGGGCTTCTCCGGGAGTAAGGTCAGTGACCTCTAGGGGATTGGGCAACCCTTCTACCTGCTCCCTTTCAGAGCCCCCAACAGACAGGCCTCTTTTCTCCCCAGCCTAGCACAGGGCCACTAAGAAGAACTTCCTTCTGGAGGAGGCTGGGCCAGGAGGATGGACTTGGGGCCTAAACCTACCCTGGACAGCATCAGTGCTTCTTGCTGGGGGTTCACAGGGAAAGGCTGGGTGGTAGAATGGAACCCTCAGCTTCCTTCAATGCCTTCAGCCTTTAGAGAAGACGGAGGCTCATTTGGGGAGTGGGAGGTTTGAGGGTCGGCAGCCTAAGTAAGGAGGGAGGCCTGGGGCAGAATCTGTCTTTGGACATATGGCTGGCAGCCTTGCCTTATCTGCCTCAAGCTCTTTGCTGAACACTGCCCGGGGCCATGAAGTCATCCCTACCCCAGGCCTGGGCCTTTTACCTGAGTGCCACTGTGGAGAGTCCATGACCCTGTTTTTCCTATCATGCCAGGAAGGAGGGTCCAACATCTTATAGGTAAAGGAAGTGGAGGTATTGGGCCCAGAGGGTGCTGCCTTCTTCATTCCCCCAACATTCTGAAGAAACTCAATACTTCTACCCATCCCCTAGCCACAGGGATTAGCGGGTGCACTTGATGTTGAAGGGTAGTTGCTAGGGCCAGGAGGCCCCCCTACATGGTTGCTAGGGGTCTGGCATGGGGCGAGGGGTCTGCCCACTGCCGCGGTCACGGAGGGAATTACACAGTCACAAAGAAATTGTTCTTCTCAGTAATCTGCTCCTGGCCACCGGGTGGGGTGAGGGTGGGGGAGCAGGCTGGAGCCCAGCAGGCTGGGGGCTGTGATCACAGAGGCGTGCTAGCCCCAGGCTGGGGGCCAGAGGGCCGGGAACACCAGGGACCAGCATGCTAAGCTGCTTTCTCAGCGATTTCTCTCCTCGGACACAAAGGTGTTTACTTGTTTTAACATCTCCTGGGACTCCCCTTCTCCCTTTGTGTGGTCTTTATCCCCAACGAGGTTTGAGCCCCAGATTACAGGCAGGAATTAAGGCATTGGTCTCAGGCAGCTCAGAACTGCATGACCTGCAGGATCAAGGAGTATAAAGTAACCAAGTGTGTGCACGTGAGGGGGGCCGACCCCTTCGGCAAGGCCATTCACTGCCCTGAGAAGGAGCGGCCGGGTGGTGGGTGGGCAGTGCAGGTGTGGCTGCAGAGCTACTGTGTCCATCTCATTGAGGCTTCAGCTGGGGGCTGAGATGCTGGGGGAGGGGTGGGCACTGGTGCTGTTAGGAGTTTCCTAGCTGAGGAGGGCGGGCCGTACATCCCAGGGGCCTGATGCCAGCTGCAGGAGGAAAGAATGTGCACAGCCAAGGTGGGGCAGCCTCTTACCCTCTGTCCTTCCTATCCCCAGTGGGCAGCTCATGACACACCTGGGCAGTGACTTTCCACCAGGGGCTGGGGTGCTAGATGTCATGTATGAGTCCCCTTCCACACTGCTGTCCTGTGGCTACGACACCTATGTTCGTTACTGGGACCTCCGCACTAGTGTCCGGTGAGTGTGCTAGCATGGGAGGGAGGATAGTGGTGGGGGCCTGATGCCCATCCCAGTCCTCCCTTCAGTCCTGGGTCAGCCCACGGGACAAGAACAGAGAATCCATGTCAGGAGCTGGGAAGGAAGGGGCCAGTAAGGTCACATCAAGCTTAGACTCTCTACTCTGGTCCCTGTGGCCTGGGAAACTGTGGCCAACAAGCCCTGATAAGGACAGGCATTTCTCAAGAGCTTCCCCAGCAATCAGGTATGGTACTGTCCCTCAGTATTCTGCCCCAGCCTTTAAGTAAGGCCTTTATTCTCCCCATCACAGGTTCTATGACATGTATCCATACCATGTGAAAACACAAATGAGGGTGTTTGCTCTATGGTTAGGGCTTGGAGAGTGTCCTTTAAAGAGGATGCCTTCTCCTACTTATGTTTGATCAGTTAAGAATCTCTCCTCCAGTCCAGCGTGGCTCTGTAACCCCTGCCCCACAGCTCTTCTAGGAACCTGAGGGAGCTAGGTCGGGCACTGAACCCCATATCTCCTCTTCCTGGACAGAAAATGTGTCATGGAGTGGGAAGAACCCCACGACAGCACCCTGTACTGCTTGCAGACAGATGGCAACCACTTGCTGGCCACAGGGTCCTCCTACTATGGTGTTGTGCGGCTATGGGACCGGCGTCAGAGGGCCTGCCTGCACGTAAGTATCCTGCCCACCTCATGCCTCTGGGATGCAGGACTCATTATGGGCCACAACTGGGAGTGGGTGATAGGGCCAAGGACACGCCTAGGCAAGGGCTGGAGGAAGCCTAAATGGCACATGTCCCTGTTTCACCAGGCTTGAAACTCTAGATTGGGGAAATCCCCATTTCCCACTTGGAAAGTTCTTACCTCTTCATGTGACCTCCCTTCTAGGCCTTCCCGCTGACATCTACCCCACTCAGCAGTCCCGTATACTGCCTACGGTTCACCACCAAGCATCTCTATGCTGCACTGTCCTACAACCTCCACGTCCTGGACTTTCAAAACCCATGACAGGCCACCCTGCCTGCCGGCCAGGGGAGTCAGCTACTCAGGGACCTCTTTTGCTTGGAGGGTGCAGTGATACCTCCTTCCACCACCCCTACTGTGCTCCTAGACTTATTGCCACAGTGTTCAGGTGTCTGAAGCTAGAGGCCATGGCTCCTGGGGTACCAGGGCTCACCTAAGGATACAGCCCCTCCCAGAACCAGTGGAGGCACAGGACCTGCTGCTCTGGGAGAATGCAACTGAACCCGTGGCCTTGCACCCATCTTACCAGAGCAAGGACCTAGCCTGGAAAGGCCAATCCTGCCACCATGTCTTCATAGGGCCATGGCAGCCTCAGAGTGAGGTGAGGCACTCTAGCCTTTGCAGCTGGCCCCTTTCTGCCCTTCCCTGGAAGGAGAGGTAAGGCTGCCAGTGTTCCTGCTGGCACCAACCAATCCTCAGACTCCACCTTTGACCAACCTCTTAGGGCTGTGAGCTCATTCCTAGGACAATGTGACCTAGTTTTGCTTTGAAGCCAAGAAAGGACAAAGGGAACCTAGCAGTTTTGAGTGAGTTCTGAGCTAGCCCTACCTCAGGCCAGCTGTGGAGATATGCTATTCTTTTCATTTTTGTAAAAATAAAGCTTGATTGTTCACAGACCTTGTTCTTCACTGATGAGGCTGTTCTAAGAGGTCGAGACCAGCTTGGTGGCGCTTCATTCTTTATGCCAAAGAACAAAGGTGTCTTCTTCCTAAAGAACTCCCACCGACCACCTGCCCGTCTAGCCTCAAGGGAGGACTGTGGAAGGGCTTTAGGATGCTGGGGCATAAAGCTGTTGTCACCTGTGGTGACCCTTCTTTCACCCTACCTCAACACACAGCAACACGGTGACCCTTATTTTGGCTTTTCACCCACAATATCATAACATCCTATGCTCTATTTTCAAGGTTTCTGCATTTTTAAAACTTCCCCCTTGCCTACATCTACCTTAGGTACCTACCTTAGGAAGTTTCTTCTAAACTACTAAGCTACTACTTTTTTGTTGTGATGGAACTGAGGATTGAACCCAGAGGTGTTCTAGTTACATCCCCACCACTTTTTGAGACAGGGTCTGTTGTCCAGGTTGGCCTCAAACTTATGATACTCCTGTCTCAGCTTTCCAAGGAGCTGAGATTGCAGGCATATGCCACTGGGCTCTGCTCTTCTGGGCCACTCCTATAAACCAAGCTAGAACAGGGGCCTACCAGCCCAGATTCCCTCTGAGTTTATGAAGACAGGTTGGGGAGACATCCTGCCCTACTGAAGTCACGGGCTCTTAAGCTCTTCTCCTTTTAGGTTCCCAGGATAGAGAAAGGAATGCCACACCAGCTCCCTCTGTAGGGAGAGCAGTGGGGCCCAGAGGCAGGCAGCCTACAGAGGTGGACAAAACGACAGTCCATCTGCAATAACTCAGAATGACTTTACTCAGGAAACAAGACCATGAACAGGAGTTTGGCATATCACCTGGACCAGTTCCTATAGACTGTAGGTAGCTCCAAGGAGAGAGGAGGTTGCCTCATGCCAGAAAGGCCCAAGCCTGGAAGTCAGATAGCATCCTCCATGCCAGAAGAACAAGGCTGGGGACCAGCTACTGGGTCTTACAGTCCCCATCACTGTGGGCCGTCTTTACCTTCTTTAGCTCCTTTTGTAGCTCTGACTCAGCCACCATGATCTCCTTTGGCTTCTGATACTGTGGACAGATCCAGGAAGAGGACTTAATTCAGTTAACTATCTCCCTCCTTCCATACCCACACTTGGGCCCCTCTGTGCCCTTACTGTATATATAAGGAACTTGAGATGTACGGGGGGGTCAAATTATTTACTCAGGTCATGTGGCTGGGTAGGAGCAGACCTTAAGCCAGAACCAAAGTTCTGAGGTTTCTGCCACTTCCTTCATCACCCTTTGCCCTCTTCTAGTTGTGAACTGTGTGACCCTCCTCTCCCCGGGCTGAAATGGAGACACCCAATCCCTAGCAGGGACTCCTAGGGAATAGGAAATGGGCAGGAAAAGAGGAACCTCTCCCCAAATATAGTGGCCAAGAAGTCTGGGTAAATCTTACAGAGATTATCAGGGTGCAGTTGGCATGAGCAAAGCTCAGCAAGGAATCATCCAGAGGTAGCTGGTATCTGTCTAGGTCAGGAATGGAGAACTTCTTGTAGTACCTGTAGGGACACCAAGAGGCCATTGGGGCACCTAGCAAGGCAACCCCAACAGTTGGGCACCAGGCTTCTCTATAGTTCTCACTCACTTTCCACAAAGCTGGAAGGGAGGAAGGATTCTTACCAGTTACAATGGCATGATTTTTTAGCTCACTGGCACTGGAAAGAAAAGTATGCCCCACCTTATGTCCAATCCAAAGAAAGAAGACCAGAACTAGTCATAATTCCATGATTAGACCAAGGGCCTGTATGACTCATGTTGCAGAAACAAGACTCCCAAGATAGGTAGAAGCCTCCTGGAACACACACACAGCTCAGGCAGCTTGGGACTCCTCTGCACTCCAAGCCTCATAGGCACACCAGAAAATGGGACACATGTCCTACAATGGACAATAAGGACATCTAAGGCCATCCCCCAAAGCTGGAGCGCACAGTTGCCATTTACATGGTATTTCCACTGAAGACCCCAGATACCTTTTCCTCCTTGGGGGTCTTTCAAGGCCTTGTTAGCCTGATACTACTTGTAAGTCAGAGAAGTGTGTTCACAAGGAAAAAGCTCGCTGGGATGACAAACCATCTCCAGTTCTGGACTTTCCACCTTGCTGGCCTTGAGACCCCACCCCTCCATTTTCACATCATACATGGTGCCTGTTGTCTGCTAATGATCCCTTTTAGTTTAAAAAGAAGGAAAGAAAATCAAGCCTGTAATGTGTATGACTGAACTTCAGGGAATTTGCCCCCTTTGCTAAAGAAGAAACCCCGCTCAAAGATGAAACAGCTTGCTGCTTTTCCAGCTAGTTGTCAGTGGAGTCAGGGTTAGAGGAAAGTTCCTTGTGCCTGTTCCAATGCTTATTATGCCAGAGAATGGAGAAAGGCCATCTCAACTCTAATAGGTCTATTTGGCATTTCCTTGGTGGAAATGTGGCCTGGGCCCTGGCCAGGGGCTGCCAGACCTGTCAGCTGGGCAAAGCACCACTCTGCTGCAGAGGCTGTGTGGGCTGGGAAGGGAAACACCTCAGGCAGGTACAAACAAACTCAAGTGAGGGGCCTGCAAAAGACGGGTTTTTAATACTTCAGAGGGGCCTGGTCCTTGTGGTGACAGCTACCCTGAGTCCACTTCAAAAGCCCTGATGCCCTGGGGACTCAGTTGACATCAATGCAGCACTTCTGCCCCGTCCTCCCTGCCCAAATCCCTCAGTTTAGCAAGGCTCCAGGGCCCCTCCTCCCAGGTTCCCCACTCCCCACCAAGGTGCGAGGACCCATGGCAGGAAAAGAATGTTTACTTAAAGGCTGACAGTTCAAAAGGAGTGGGGGTTGGGGGATCCTAATGGCACCACAAGTTGCTTTCTTTTCCAAAGCTCTGCCCCAGGGAAAGGCGATCCATCTGCCTGCAACCAGTGAAGGAATGCTCTCCACATCCTCTTCCCAGCTGAGGGCTCTTCCTGGGGCCCTTGGTCTGGCCAGCAAAGGTGGCAGACACTGATAATAGTGGGGAGTCAAAGGTTAAACAGCAGAGATTAGGTGAACACAAAGGCTTGTTAGGAAGTGTTAACATCTTCCCTGCAAATATACACAAAAAACCAAACCAGTGCTCCCCCCACCCCATTCCCCAGGCTAGGCCAGTGGGAAGGAAAATGAATCCTGAAGCTTGGTCCCCACAGCAACATCAGAATCAGAGGGAACTTGAGGTGCATAGTTTGTCCCCATTCCTTGTCCTACTCCTACTATAAGGCTAGAAGGCTGGGCACAGACCCTGAGGCTTAGCTTTGTTTTGAGTCTTACAGTAATGGATTTAATTTATTGGTGAGGTTAAACAACTTCTCCCAGGAGGCTCCTGTCAGCCAGTGCTGGAGGGAATAGGGATATCTGCTTTCTTTCCTCAGGGCCAGCTGGCACCCTCCTATCTCTGTTCCCCCAGGTTTGGGGTTTGCCAGGACAGGGACTGCACTTGACTTTCTAATTAGCACCTGGATAAGAGAGGGACCCACTGTGCTTCTGGAAAAATCAGAATGTTCAGCCTCAGACAGCTGCAGACATGCAGCACACATTTACTGGACATCAACTGTGTCCTAGGCCTTGAGCTGTGAGCTGGTGATTTAAGGACAAAGAATAAACAGGTTTACCTGTGTAGATCTTGCTTGTTAATGCTAAAAGCTAAAGATATTTATAGCAGGGCAATTCCCCAGCATCCTGGCATGCCCCACTTTCTCCATCCCTACCTCTACCACTGTTCTCAGTAGCAACCAGGCAATGAATGACTTATTTTCCTTCCTTCCTCCTACCCTGCACGCCCCCCCCCCCCCGGGATGAACCCAGGGTCTTGCACATGTGCGTATCTACCTCAATCTGTACCCCTAGTCCTGAAATGGTATGTAGCTTTGGTTTTAAACACATTTAATCCTCAAAACAGCCCTCTAAAGATCTGGACACAGTGGTGATTGCCCTCAATCTCAGCAACTCAGGAGGCCTAAGGCAAGTAAGTTTCAGGCCAACCTGGGCAATTTAGTAAGACCCTGACTTAAAATTTCAAAAAGGGCTGGGGATATAGCTCAGAAGAACACTTCTGGGTTCAAACCCCAGTACAAAAAACCAACAAAACCCTCTCAGGTTGGTTATTTCTATATCATCTTTTATAGAAACTGAGCACAGCAAAGTTAGGTATGTTGCTCAAGTCACAACGCCCTTATTATAAGGGCATTCCCCCAATCTCCTAACCCCTCCATCTCCACATTCTCATCAAATAATAGATCACCTGGTCTAGATTCCCTACATTTGTCCAAGGATGGGGCAGATACTGGGTGGAAAGGCAGGGGTGTTTAGTAACAGGTTCTCTATCCCCAGATTCAAGTACCCTGCTCGTTTCCTGGGTACTCTCTCCAACACATAAGGGTTCATCCTTTCTGAATGTCAAAATTTAGATGAAACAGTAGGCTTGCAGTAGGTCTTCTAGCTCTGTTTTATGACCCTGGGCAGGGCACTTAACTTCTGGGCCTCAGTTTCTCGCTCTAAATTCCTTCCTAAAATCAAGGAGCTACACTAGATGAACTTTAAGTCATTGTCAAAGGGCCCAAAATGGACTAACTCTGAACCTCTCTTCTCCTTATGCCAAATGGACAACTCCTTCATTTTGGTTATTTCAGAAATGGCCTACTGCCTCCATCTCACTACTGTATTCCCTCCCCAATTTCCAGCCCTTTCTCACCCCATTCTCCCTTGAATTGAATAGGGGGGCACAAGAGGTTGGGCCTTCAGCGAGAGAAAGCCCTTGGAGGAGGGCTGAGACCAGAGGAGGGCTATGTGAACAGTCTCATGGGCCCCACACACCTTGGCAGAAGTATCCAGAGAAGCCTTCAGTCATTCCCTCCCAGCAGCAGGAAATCTTCCTAAAACCCAAGGCTTTGGGAAAACTGAAGCCACGCCTAGCATCTCTTGTTGGAAAGTCATAATGCATGTGCACATACACGCTGGCAGGACCCTCAGAGTCCTAATGAATTAAAGCCTGTTGAATCCAGACTGACCTAAACTTATCTGGCCATAAGATCCTTTTCTTCTATAATACATGATGCTTATTAACACCTGCCATGGTGATCATTGATGTCCAATAAGCCAAGCTCTCTTCAGATTAGTTTCCAAAGATTTGTTCAGAACTTGCTTCAGGCCAGCAATTATACTGGGTTCTCATATGTATCTGATATCATCAAATTCCCCAAACAATCTGTGAGGCAGGTATAAGCATGTTCCTATGATTCAGAAGGAACCCTTGCCCAAATGCTACAGTAAGAGATAAGACTTAAGCCAATATCTTCCTACTCTAGTACCCTGGCTCATGCCACTTACAACTGCCAGCTTCTAGGATGAAGCCAGAAATCTTCTTTCTACACAAACATTCTTATCAAGACCAGATGATACACACAAGGGTCCTAGAAAAGCACTTTCTTCTCTGCCTGACTTATGCCTCATTAGTACCTGAGGCCAAGGACACAGTACACTAGAATCAATTCTCTAAAGCAAAGTGGCCAACCCAGTTCTTCAGAGACAAGGCAGATATGGACAAAGCAATTCTTGTCTGGCTTTGGTCAGGAATCATATTCTAGAATATGAGAATGGGGTAGGCACAGAATCTCCAGGTGAAGATAAGTTGACTCAGAGAAGAATGCCACTGTGTGGTAGAGACTGCAGAAGCCTGGGCACCAAATGACGGTGCTAGCTCTCCTTTTGGCAAGGAAGAGAGAGTTTGTATATGGCTGACCATACACTTACATTTACATAATTATTAATATATAACATTAGGATAAAAATATGCATCCTGCCTATCTCTGGATGACATGAAGACCAGAAAACAAATTTTTAAAGTGTCCTGAAGACATTAACAGTGCTCAGAGGAATAGTGTTAAGTTTTGTTTAATGAGTGGGAATACAAGTATATGACACATTACCACAGGTAGAGAGTGAAAATTCCACCAGACTCAGGAAAGATCTAGTTAAGAGTTCAGGGGGCCTTCCAGCTACCTGTTAACAGAGGATCTGTAGAGGGGTGGGGCTGAGCCAGGATGAGACCCTGGACCAAAGTCTCCATGTTGGCTCTGAAGTGGGCACCAAAATGCTCCTCTCTCCTTTGTGGGAACCCCATCTTCCCTGGCACCATTCTAATCATACCTGGCCTCCTCCAGTGCTTCAAAAATGACTTCCTCTCCTTGGGCACTGAATGGGTCTCTAGCCATGGAGCTCCTGGCCAATAGCGCCATCTATGGCTGGATGCGCACAGGAGATGGGGCCCAAAGGATCTACCAGCAGATGAATTTTTGGTGAGCTAGCTAGCCTGTCTATTCTCACTCTTGTAATCACATTTCTGCATGATATCTGTATTCGACAGTGACCTCTGGGGGACAAAAAGGAGGCAGCAGCCAGCTCCACAAAGTGCTAAGCTGCAGATTCAAGTGCTATCAGAAGCACTTTTGTTCCCAGTTTGGACCTAGGGCTTCTTACGCCAGGGAATGCTTGCTGAAGTACGGAGTTTGTTTTCCTACAGGCAATTTCTCTGTTGTCTGAAATTGCTAAATTCCACTTTAGGCACTGACTCCTGTTAATGATGAGAGCAATAACGGAAATAAACTGCCTTTTATCTGAGGGCTTCAATGTGCTTTATAAACGCAAACCCTTATTATTATGACTTTATATTTATAGACAAGGCCCACTGCAGGGGCTGCTGGCTGCATGTACAGCAATAATCCTGAAATTAATTCATTCATCTCCACCCCTTCCCTTGTCCTCTTAACCCTGACAAAATGATGGGGTATGGGTGTCATAAGAGGAGGGCTGCACTGGGGGAGCCTGGGAGTTGCCTTGCTTCCCTGTGGGCCTTATGGACCTGAGGAAGACACAAGGAGAGGCTGGCACCACACCAGCTGAGGAGATGGACAAAGAGCTGGGGCCTCCCAAATGCATGTAAGCAGAAGATGAGTAGAAGCACCTCTAGTTGGGTTCAGCAGCCTGTGAGGCATATTGGGCACAAGTATGAAGCATCATACTGTGGATAGGTAACTCAAGAAACCTACCATCTTGACACCCCAATCTATTTCATGGGAATTGACACCCCCATACTGTAATCCCTCTGGTTCAGGTCAAGACTGATTCACTTCAGGGCTCTTTTCTTCTCCAACGGTCAGTCAGAGCTCCATAAACCCAAATGTGATCATTTTGAAAATGCATCTGGGTCACCTTCTGTCCTTTCAACACCCCCCCAAGTTGGCCTCCCCCCACCAGTGAACCATAAAGGGAAGTTGAGCACCCCTATTGAAACAGAATGCCAGGGACTTCCAAGAGGCCAAAGCATCTGTCTACTGTCCTTTAGTCCAAGGAGGAATTAGGGTTACTGCTGTCCAGACCAGTATTTTAAAGTCTTTTAACTGCTACCTCAGATAGTTCCAGACCATGGCTCCCTGCCAGCTCCAAAAGTGATGTCACCAGGTCAAGTTCCCCATGGACTGGATCCAGCAATGAGGTCAAGGTCATAATTAACCTTATAGCAGAAGTGAAATCACAAATGATTTCCTCATTCCTTTATTCATTCAACAAATATTTACTGAGCCCTAATATGTGCCAGGTACCATGCTAGGCACATGTTCAAGTTCCCCTCCCTGATGGAGCTGATTACATTATTCAAGCTGCTCCTGCCCAGGGGAAGCCCTTCACTTTCAGTACCCTGGGTTTTTTGTTGGGTCTGCTTTCCTCCCTCAGAACTGGAGGAAGGAGGGTGCTCTGGCTTTGGAGTAAGCAACACTCTGGGACATGCCCCCACCCTGCCTCTGCTCAAGTACAAGCAGATAGGTGCTCACACGCAACTCACTTCTTGTTGGTTGTTCTGACAACAATGCAGCGCTCCTTCTGGGCCACACCAACGCTATAGACATCCTTAGGGTAGGGGAGGTTTCGAATCCGCCACTGGAAACTTGTCTTTGTGTCCTTACGCACGAAGATAGGCTGCAGAAGGCAAATCCAACTCAAGGACAATTCAAAGTCTCTGCCCTCAGGGGTCAGAGACCCTCCCAACCTCCATAAGACACTTGGACAGACATACATACATTGGCATTGCTTTCCTTGATGAGCTCGGGCCCCAGGCTTCCTGCTCCTGGGAGTGCTGGCTCTCCCACTTCAAGCTGCCACTGGCTCAAGGCTCCCAGCGCACTTTTCACTCGCCACTTTCTCACTGGGGACAGAAGCAAGCAATAGGATCACAGGGAAGAAAGGGTCACTGCTCTTTCCTGCTGAATCGCTGACATCACGTTAGTTCCCAAAAGAAACAGGATAGAAGTAGAGCATTGGAACCTTTAACTGGGCATTGTTCAACTGAGCAGGGATCACACAACCTATGAAATCTCAGTGGAGCATTTCAGTATTATACACTCTACAAAGCCCATCTCATGGGTGCACAGACAAAAGGAATTGGCATGAAGTTCTAGAAGCCTAGAGGAGTCAAGAAACACTCAAGTGCAAGGAAGACACTGAGAATTGAAAATGGTAATTTCTGGTTTTAGGAAACTTTGGATCCCCAAAAGGAAGTTTAGATGCATTTCCCCGCCTCTAAAAAATGCAAGGGAGCCAGTATGGCCCATAATCCTAGAGGTTCACAGGAGGCTGAGGCAAGAAGGTCATAAGTTCAAGAACATCCTTAGCAACTCAGTGAAACCCTGTCTTAAAGTAAAAAAGGTCTGAAGATGTGGCTCAGTGATAAAGCTCCTTTGGGCTCAATCGCCAGTATCCTCACCTGCCCCCCCCCCCAAAAAAATGCAAAGGAAAAATGAATGAAGAGAGTGAAAGCTGTTTGGTAATTTTGTCTCATGATTCAGAAAGTTCAGATATAGAAATTCATTCATTTCATGGGGCTGGGATTGTGGCTCAGCAGTATAGAACTCACCTAGCACGTGCAAGGCCCTGAGTTTGATCCTTTGCACCACATAAGAATAAATAAATTAAAATAAAGGTATTGTGTCCAACTACAACTAAAAAGTAAATATAAAAAAAAAAGAAATTCACTCATTTCAGGTATACCTGGCTTATAAAAAACTATATTATCAGGCTAGTTCAGTGGCAGAGCTCGTCTCATAAGCACAAAGTACCATGTTTAATCCCCAGCACTGCAAAACAAAATCTGAGGCACACACTGTATTTTAAATGCACTATTTATAGAAGATTTAATGTGTTTTTGCAAAATGGAATTTTATATTTGCAAGTTTATAATGCAAAAAACCATCTCTATTTTTTCTTGCTTTACAACCCAGCTATTTGTACAAATTTTTTAAAAAATAATTTTTAGTTGTAGATGAACGCAATGCCTTTACTTCATTTATTTATTTTTATGCTGAGGATCAAAGCCAGTGCCTCACATATGCTAGGCAAGTACTCAACCACTGAGTTACAATCCCAGCCCCCCACACCTTTTTTTTTAAGGATATATATTATGGAAATTATAAATCCAGAAACTAGTTCAATGGACATTATCTAGAAATCCCTGCTAGGATTTTCAGAAACTCCTCTCAGCCCTGTCCTAGGGACTGCTGTGGTGCAGTGGAACTACCTGTTTGGAGGCATAATCCCATTTCCTTCCTACTGTATTTGGGATCCCTGGGTCTGCCATCTCAGGGTGTCCTCCAGCCTGAACAACACAGTTATTGCTCAAGACCAGCAGCTGCCTTCTGCAGCCACTGCAGGGAGTGGAACAACTCGAAGTGCCTGGAGTGCTGCTGCCGATGTTTCCAAGTGCAGGCTCCTTTTTCCCAGCAGGAGAAGTCATGGCTCCAGTCTGATCCTCAGTATCAGGCAAGTGGATGGTTTGCCTTTAGACCTGAGCAGCTGTGCCAACCCACACACCCTCACTGCTATAAGGAAAGCATGTGAGCAGAACACAAAAGCATGGTGTAAAATTAAGGTTTTCCATTGAATATGTGCTTTTATAAGGTCTGCTGCATGCTATAGTATGATTTTATTACATCTTAGGGACAAAAGTTCTCCCTAGAAACACATTTCCAAGTTTATAATGAAAATTAATAAGGAAGAATAAAACTTGGAAATGTGCTAAATAGACAACTTTTTCTCCCCACAGATACTTTCTTAAGTGAATGGACTGTGACCAGGAGTATATCCAGATATATTCACTATAATATTTCACTTAATTGTAAGCCAACCTTCTGGGGGGCCTCTATCACAACTGAAAACTCAGAAGTGACAAATACTTCCAAAAAAATAGCTTATGACAAGACCCTTGTATCCTGCTCCACACTATCAGAAAGATTATTCCTAAATCCTTACTCAAGCTACATATAAAATGCTGTGTGCTAGGCACTGTGGCTTATACCTGTAATTCCCGCTAGCTGGAAGGCTGAAACAGGAAGATTTCAAGTTTGAGGCCAGCCTGGGCAAGCTGGCAAGAAGCAAGACCCCGTCTCAAAATAAAACAAAAAATATAAAATACAAAATAAAATTAAAAAGGGATAGGGATGTAGCTGGTGCATAGCATATATGAGGCCCAGAGTTTGAATCTTTTTTTTTTTTTTGATACCAGGCATTAAACCCAGGGTTACTTACCACTGGGCCACGTCCCCAGCCTTTTTTTTATTATTTTTTAATATTTTTAGCTGTAGATGGACACAATACCTTTATTTATTTTTATGTGGTGCTGATGATCAAACCCAGTGCCTCATACAAGTAAGGTGGCACTTTACCACTAAGCCACAATTCCAGCCTCTTTATTTTTAAAATTTTTAATTTTTTTGTAGTTATAAGTGGACAGCATGCCTTTATTTATTTTTATGTGGTGCTGAGGATCAAACCCAGTGCCTCATACATGTAAGGTAAGCACTTTACCACTAAGCCACAATTCTAGCCTCTTTATTTTTTAATTTTTTTGTAGTTATAGGTGGACAGCATGCCTTTATTTTATTTATTTATTTTTATGTGGTGCTGAGGATCAAACCCAGCACCTCATACATGCAAGGCAGTGTTCTGCCACTGAGCTACAGCCCCAGCCCTGCACTTTTTAGTTTTTGAGACAGGGTCTTGCTAAGTTGCTCAGGGTCTCACTGAATTGCTAAGCCTGGCTTTGAACTTGTGATCCTCCAGCCTCAACCACCTGAGCCACTGGGATTACAGGCATGAGCCACCATGTTCAGTCCAGGATTTTATTCTTAGTCTCACACACACACACAACAACAAAAAAAAAAAAAAAAAGAAAAAAGAAAAGAAAGAAAAAGAAAAAAACTATGTATAGAATAAGGCAAGAAATTTTGTTCTCAGGCATACTGACAACACTATCAAAGGACATCTTACATGGAAGTGCAGAACTAGAACAGCACTTGGGACCACTTAGTGTCAGAGCAAACAAGCACCCTTAGTCCTTGATGGTATCTCTATATAATAGAACATGACCACCACAGATCTTATGGGTGAAAGTTATTTTAGAAAGTATCTAGTCCAATAACTGTATGTTTGCTTGTTTGTTTATTTATCCTAGGGATTGAACCCTAATAAGCTTTATGACTGAGTTACATCTCTAGTCCTTTTTATTTTTCATTATGAGACAGGGTCTTGCTAAGTTGCTAAAGATCTCCATAAGTTGCTGAAGCTGATCTTAAATTCCTTAGCCTACCAAGTCAGTGGGACTACAGATGCACACTACTGCACCCGGCTATGTCTTTATTGTTGTTGTTTTTATGCATATATGTTTTAAATGGGAAACATTTCTTCTGTGCTTGCTCACCTTCGTCTCTTGCCATTTCTTTCCAGGAGACAAGAGTCTATTGAGTAACAGACAGACCACTTTGCAAAAGCCACAGTTAAAATTCAGGTCTCCTAACCCCAAATTCAGAATCTGAATCATTAATAAAAGGTTAAACTGCAGCCCAGAAGTATTCAATAAGTGTTTGTGATATAAGCATTTTGTGATATTTCTTTCTTTCTTTTTTTTTTTTGGTACCAAGGGATTGAACTCAGGGGCACTCAACCACTGAGCCACATCCCTAGCCCTTGTGATAGTTCTTAAAGTAACTTTATTTTTGGCAGTATTGGGGATTGACTCAAGAGTTTCAAGCAGGGCACGGTAGTGCACACCTGTAATCCCAGTGGCTTGGGAGACTAAGGCAGGAGGATCACGAGTTCAAAGCCAGCCTCAGCAAAAGCAAGGTGCTAAGCAACTCAGTGAGACCTGTCTCTAAATAAAATACAAAATAGGGCTGGGGATGTGGCTCAGTGGTTGAGTGCCTCTGGGTTCAATCCCTGATACCAAAAAAAAGAGAGAGAGTTAGTTTCAAACATGGTAGGCAAGCACTCTACTCCTGAGCTACATTATATCCCCAATCCCTTTTATTTTTTTGAGAGACAGTCTTTCTAAGTTGTCCAAACTAGTACCGAACTTGTGATCTTCCTACCTTAGCCTCCCAAATATCTGGAATTTCAGGTGTGTGCTACTGTGTGTGTGTATATATATACACACACATTGGTCAATTATCTGAAAAAGTAAATATGAGGAATGTCTGACTACCTGGGGCTGGAGAAGTGAGATGCCCCTGTAATCATGGGCCATGTCAAATTTGATGTCCATTTCACTACCAGTGTGGCTTGGGAAAGGCACTAACCACCCTTTGAATTCCTGTGCACTCTTCTACTCCAAAGAATGCTGGGTTTTTCACAGAAAGCTTTTTTAAAAAATATATATATATATTTATTTTTTAGCTGTAGTTGGACACAAAACCTTTATTTTACTTATTTATTTTTATGTGGTGCTGAGGATTGAACCAAGGGCCTCACACGAGCTCTCTACCACTGAGCCAGAACCCCAACCCTCCACAGAAAGCTTTTTTTTTTTTAATATTTTATTTTTTAGTTTTTAGGTGGACACAATATCTTTTTTTTTTTTTAATGTGATGCTGAGAATCGAACCCAGTGCCTCACGCATGCCAGGCGAGCACGCTACCACTTGAGCCACATCCCCAGCCCCCACAGAAAGCTTCATAAGGAGGAAAAGTTTGCTGTTGGCTCCCTCTTTCCAACCTCAAAAGCCACTCAGGCCACAGGAGCTTTGGCACCCTTGGCTGCCTCACCATTTTTTTTTTAACACCTATGAAATTACCTTCTTTGTTAAAAAGTAATACAGAAGAAAGTTTTCCTTTTCAACCCTTTAAGAGATAAGATCCAAAAATTATTTTGGCAAAGTCCTTATTTATCTCATACATAAGGGCATGAGTACACACATGCAAATACACACTTATCTTTCTTGTCCATGTCTTTGTTCCTGAACTCAAGGACAGCTCCTGCGGCAACAGAACACTGTTTCTACCTGCTGTCACTCTGATTTGATTATATGTTAAACCCAAACTGGTGTGTGCAAGGCAGCTCCCTGGGTGCTGTCATCTCTTCCCAGCTGAGCCAGGGTCAGTCCTTGGGAAGGAGACTTTCAATGACCCTGCAAAGGGTCTGACAGGGAATATGAAGGAGGCAATGCCTGGGGACTTTTTCCTAAATCAGCAGGAAACAGGCTGATGTCCCAGGCTGCTGAAAGAGGCCCGATCTTTCAGGTGGGCTAGAAAGTGGAGGTCCTAAAGGCCTCTTTCCCCAAAGCTCCAAAGCCTGGCCCACTTCCAATGTGGATAATTACATTCCCCTTTCCTAAATACTCCCTGCAGCTTAAACTAGATGCAGGATTCTTCTTTTCTGCCCTAAAACACTGCAACATTGCTCTGTGGCTATTAAACAGCTGCCGCGGCCCATCCCTGAGGAGGCTGAAGGGAATCGAGTGGGTCATTTATAAAGCCGCTGAAGTGCCTGGGGATGAAAGTGCTCAATATCCTCCAAATGCGGCCTGGGGTGGTTAGGCTGGCGGTCAAATACCAAAGCAGATTAAGCAGTAATCCGAATGTAATCGCTAGGGGATGGCCTGCCCTTCAGCCTCTGCTTCCCTGGACACGCTGTGTTTTTCTGGGGCTAGTTTGATGTTCCGATCATTGTTATGGGGCCCTTCAGTTTTTCCTCTATGAATACATATAGCATTCATTGTGGGGGGTGGGAATGAATAGCCCCAAGAGATTAGAAAAAAAGATGACACTAACATGCTTATTAACACTGACTAGAGAAACTTTGTCCCAGGCAGATGCACACCTATTGGCAATTCTTCCTCTGTAATTGAGATTTTTGAATAGAAACAGCAGTTTGGCCAATTACCAAATTTATATAATTAGTTGGAAAATGGAAACTATTTCTGCATACTGCCACAAAAACCACATCTGTATTTTACTTCATAGTATACACAAGCAAAAGACAGCTCAGATCCTAGGATTATTTATTCTTAAAAATTAACAGCTGGGACTGGATGTGGTAGTGTACACTGGTCATCTCAGCAACTCAAGGATTGCAAGTTCAGGGGCAGCCTCGGCAACTTAGCAAGGACCTGTCTTAAAATAAGAAGGATTGGGACTGGGGATGTAGTTCAGTGGTAGAGCCTAGTATGTGTGAGGCACTGGGTTCAATCCCCAGCACTTTAAAAAATTAAAAAATAAAATAAAAATAAAACCTGGGTGCAGTGGCATGCTCCTATAGTCCCAAGTACTTGGGAGGCTAAGACAGGAGAATCACTTGAGCCTAGGAATTCAAGGCCAGCCTGGGCAAACTAGTGAGGCCCCATCTCAAAATAATAAAAATAATAACAACAATTATGATGATGAAGAGTATTTTGTGAGGGCAGTTGGGTAGGGGTTAGGGGAAAAGAATAAGAAATGGATCTACTGTTCTCTGGCTACGGTCCAGTGGCTGGAGTGGGGTGATTCTTCATGCCTATCAGTCCCCATTCAGGTCATTCTGGGAAAGAAAAATTGAATAAGGCTAGGCATGGGGGCACATGCCTGTAATCCCAGCTATTTGAGAGACTCAGATTATGAGTTCTAGCCTAGCCTGGGTAACAGCAAAACCTCTTAAAAAAAAAAAAAAAAAAGAAAGAGAAAATAGGAAGAAAAGAAAGTTAGATTTAAATATTCTTTGCTATACATCAAAGCACAGACTTTTTAGAAAATATTGTTTAGTTGTCAATGGATCTTTATTTTATTTATTTATATGATACTGAGAATCCAACCCAGTGCTTCACACGTGCTAGGCAAGCACTCTACCACTGAATCACAACCCCAGCAAGCACGGACTCTTGATTGGACAGAACTTAGAAACCTAACAGCAATGTGATTCTGAAAAAGGTACTTAAACTTCTTGAGCTTCTGTTCTTTCAACTGTAAAATGGGGAAGAAGATACCTATGTCATAGGGGTTTTCTTTTTTCCATTGGTGTTGGGTACTGGGGATTGAACCCAGGTGTGTTTAATCACTGAACCACATCCCCAGTCCTTTTTATTTTTTGAAACAAGGTCTCACTAAATTGCTTAGGGCCTTGCTAAGTTGCTGAGACTGGTCTTTCAGTCCTCCTGCCTCAGCTACCTAAATTGCTCGGATTACAGGTGTGTGCCACCATGCCCAGCTGTCATAGAGTTTTGTTTTGTAACACACACACACACACACACACACACACACACACACACACGTGTGTGTGTGCATTTGTGTGTGTATATATGTAAACATATACACTCATATAAATATGTACACACACACACACACACACACACACACATATATATATATTAGTTGTAGATGGACAAATACCTTCATTTTATTTATTTACTTTTATGTGGTGCTGAGGATTCGAACCCAGTGCCTCACACATGCTAGGCAAACACTCTACCAACTGAGCTACAGCTCCAGTCCTGTTATAGGGTTTTAATGAAGACAATTACATGATGTCATTCATATAATATACTTGGCATGGTGTCCAACAAGAATTAATGTCATTAGTAGGTAAACTTTAGTCAAATAGTATTCTCTCTCATGAACAAAGTCTCACTCTATTTCTGCTTTTAAGAAAAAGGAGTTTGAGTCAAGCCTATAATCCCAGTGACTCAGGAGGCTAAGGTAGGAGGATCATCACAAGCTTGAGGTCAACATTGGCAATTTAGCAAGAGCCTGTCTCAAAATGAAAAATAAAAAAGGACTGGGAATGTAGTTCAGTGATAGAGAGCCTTTGGGTTCAATCCCCAGTACTGCCAATAAATAAGTACATAAGAAAAAGAAAAAGGAGTTTGGAGGCCAGAGTCTGTCCTCTCTTGCCACCAGGAGAAACAATAGGTAAATGTGGGATACTGGGGCTTCAAATGCTACAAATGAGGGAAACTGCACTTTTTTTTAATTTTAATTTCATCTCCAAGTACAACAAAAAAGCCCAGGTTTTGTTTGTTTGTTTCCACAGCTGTGGCAACAATAGCTGCTTTACTTGTTCTTTGTGGAAAAGAGGGGTGATATTGGGGGCTGGGGTGAAGCTGGGGCGAGGTGTTGCGGTCAGTCTCTGGCCTGGATATGGTGATGGTTAGCCCACGTGACCTCTGCTTTCATAAGTTCTCCCCTGTTAGGCATTCCAAGGCTGTCACCCCCTGGGAGCACTATAAATTACAATACATTGTGAGGATATTACTACTGTATTGGTTTCCTCTGAATCAGTGTCATATGCTAAACACATCAAGATTTTTAATAGCACCAGACTAAGCCAATTGGGACCAAGCCCAAGCAGTTCATAATAAGGAGGGATCAACACTTCACTCTGCAACTGAACATGCGGAGGGCACATATTTTAAGACCAGAGACCAAGAGAATGCAAACCAGTGTAATCCATGTTGTCGGTTCTAGACATTTATGAGCTGTCAGAAAAAGGGAAAAAGAAATTCCCTCACCAATACAACCTGTCGATCAGGCCTAGGAAGAAATTAAAGTCAAGAATAATGACAAGAAAATAACCCAGTCCATGATTCCATCATTGGTCTTAGCATTTCAGGTGGAACTTAATAAAGAGACCAACTCCCACTGCTGACAGCCTTAGGCCCTGGGTCACAGAGCCAGCCTCCTAGCTCTGGGAAGTCAGTTAAGGCTGATGTGCGTACCTGGGAATAGAAAGTGGACAAATCAAATAATTCCCAGAAATTCAAACTGGAACCCCTATTCATAAGCCTATTCATAGAGGGAAAAATCTGTAGGAATGAAAAATGATAATGCTGCAAAATCACCAAGCATACCCCCTTTGGATCATTCTTCAAGATGAGGGTCGTATTTAACGGTGTTGCCTTGGAGGCAAGGTCAGAAGATACTGCCTCTGATGCTTGCTCCTAGAGTGGCTCAGAAAACACAACAAGCAATCAAAAAGCCTGCCGTGAAAGGCTATATTTGAAAGGCTGTCCTTATTACTAGGGGCTACAAGGCTCACTTCAATACCACTCCTCTGTTAAGTTTTTCTCCAACTGTTTCTCCTCATACCCCCTCCCAGCTTAGAATTACCTTTCTTGCTGGCTGGGGCTGGGCTTGGGGCTGGGCTTTATGGGTAAAAAAAAAAAAAAAAAAACTCCCACTCCATTTCCAGTGTCCAAACTATTTTCAGTAACAACCTTGCCCCAAAAGCCTGAGTACTCCCTCCCTCAGTTTCCACATTTCATGCTGGGCAACTCCCTCAAGCCTAAGGCGAGGAGCTTTGGCCTGTGCTCAGAACAACCCCAAGCCTTCCAAAGAGTCCAATGGAAGCCTATTACTTACCAAGTAGTTCACTCGTCTTCTCATCATATTCTTCAGCCATTTCCTTTCCATCTGGGAACAAATAGTGCACCTTTCTTCTCCCTACACACAGAGCAGACAGTGCCTTACCTCATAGCCTTCCTCTGCCTTGCCTCGTGCTGATGTGCAAGGGGCCTTACCTGGGAACAGCAATAGCCCTGAGAGTAATGAGAAACCCCGCTGGAACCCTTAGGAACTCTTTGCCAACCATCACCCACCATTACTTTAAGTCATATCCTGGGGCTCACTTGCTTTCTGAAGCTTCTTCCTCTGAACATGCCTTTGCAATTTTCTCTATCAGTAATAATGCTATAATTCTTCCCATCCATGAAACTCTTCCTCACCCTTCAAAATCCAACTCAAATGTCACTTCCACTGGAAAGTCTCCCACAATTATCACCTCCAGCTCATTGGCAGAAGTAATCACTTCCTCATCTTCCCCCTCCCATGGTGTATTCACATGTATAGTGGAGCATTTATCACATATTATAACACTCCTAAAAGTATCAGACATGAATGTCATCACAGTTTCTAAAACCAAGCTTACACAGGATGTTGAGCTGGGGTTGTTGACCCAGCACTTCCCTTCAGTCATGCCATTGTTCTACCTTCTTCCACACATCTCTAGGTCATTCAGAGACACATGATGGCAACTGCCATGTATTTGCTCCCTGACAAGGTACTTCAGTTATGATTTTATATCTACTTGGTGTGATTCTTTGATTATTGCCTGTCTCTTTTACTGGATAGGAGCAGTTTTATCCCTGTACCAGTGGATTCCCTGAGAGTAAGCAGAGTAGCTGGCTCAACGAAATAGTGACTGAAAGAATGAATAATTATATATGGACACATCCTCCACTGACAAGCCCGGAGTCTCCCTGCCCAATTTCTCTACCCACATAGCATGACCATAAGCATTTGCTTAAGGATGACTGTGTAACTTCCTCTTTCTTTTTACATATAGGATGCAGATATAGATATGCCCTCAGAAAGACTAATAAAAGGGCATTAATGCTCAGTAGGCATGTACACTATATAAGATTCAAGAATAAGAATCCTAGCTGGGGACTGATGCTGTAGCTCAGTGGCAGAGCACTTGCCTAGCACGTGTCAGGAACTGGGTTTGATCTGCAGCACCACATAAAAATAAACAAATAAAATAAAGGTATACTTGGCCAGGGTCGTGGCTTAGTGGTATTGTGTCCATCTACAACTGAAAAAAATATTTTTTAAAAAAGCATACTGTCCATCTATAACTACACTTTTTTTTTTTTTTTTTTAAGATTCCTAGCCAGGGGGCTGGGGTTGTGGCTCAGTTGGTAGAGTGCTTGCCTAGTATGTATGAGGCACTGGGTTTGATTCTCAGCACCACATAAGTAAATAAATAAAGGTCAATCAACAGCTGAATAAAAAAAATTTTAAAAAAAGAAAAAGATTCCTAGCCAGGTATCATGGAGTACTCCTGTAATTCCAGCTTGGCTGAGGCAGGAGGAGCTCGAGTTCAAAGCCAGCCTCAGCAACTTAGTGAGGCCCTAAGCAATTCAGTGAGACCCTGTCTCTAAATAAAATATTTTTATAAGGACTGGGGAGGCCAGGGTTGTGGTTTAGTGGTCAAGTGCTTGTCTAGCATCCATGAGATACTGGATTTGATCCCTGGCACCACAGAAAAAATAAAAAAATAATAATAAAATAAAGGTTAAAAAATAATTGAAAAAAAAAGGCTGGGGATGTGGCTCAGTGGTCAAGAACCCCTGGGTTCAATCCCCGGTACCAAAAAATTACAAAAGAGTCCTCAGGTGGCTTTTTCCTAATTTACTCTTCTGGGAACAGTTCTCTTGAGTCATTTTAAATTTGTATTTCAGGGAAACTCAAATCCCAAATTTGCAGGGCATCTCAACAGGCCTTTAGGTTCCACTACTCTTAACCTTTTGGGTGGTTCATAGGAGCCAGCAGGTGTTTTCCTATCAGAAGAAGGGCACAAGGTACTGCCTATGCACAGCTGAGGGCACCTGGCCTGGCCATCTTCTCCCCTTTGCCTCCAGCCTCGAGTACTGGCAGAATGTGGTACTTACTATCAACCAGCCAGTTTACATGTTTTATTGAATTTAATTCTCACAATAATCCTATGTATCTCCATTATCTGTATTTCACAGATGAGGAAAATTGAGGCTTAAAGATGTGAAACTTAGTCTAACATCATAAAGCTAGAAAATGACAGACTCAGACTTAAACTCTTTTGAGGCCAAAGTCCAAGTTCTAATAATTATATCAGAAAAATTTGTACAGCTTAAAATATTTGTAAGGTTGAACATTGTTCCAGGGATTTATTGAACATTTTTCCAGAGAGTTCCTTTTTACATCCCTATACCTGCCAAGATGGCAAATCTGCATTTTAACAAAGCACACCCATATATTCAATATTGTGGGGTTTTGGGGTTTTTTTGGGGGGGAAAAAACCTTAACAATATCATTTTGTGATGCTAATAATAAAAGAACTTAACACAATCTTGGCTGATAAAATATTTGTTTAAATATTGTTCTGTGACCAAATACCTGGGCTTGCACCTCTGAATATCTCTGAATTCATATTCAGAGCAGCATTATTCACAATAGTCAAAAGGTAGAAGCAACCCAAGTGTCCCTCAACACATGAATAAACAAAATGTATGTGTGTGAGGAGGTGAGTTGTGCATAAATACAAATGGGATATTATTCACATTTTAAAAGGAAGGAAATTCTAACACATGTATAACATGAACTTATGCTATAAGAAATAAGCCAATCATAAAAGGACAAATATCGTACAATTTCATTCATCTGGTTTCCTAGAGTAGTCAAATTCACAGAAATAGAAAATAGAAAGGTGCCTGCCAGGGGCTGAGGAGGAAGAAAGCACAGAGTTTACTGACAGAGTTTCTTGAGGAAGATGAAACAGTTCTGGAAGCTGGGTTCAGTGGCACATGCCTGTAATCCCAGTGGTTCAGGAGGCTGAGGCAGAAGGATTGTGAGTTCAAAGCCAGCCTCAGCAACTTATCAAGGCACTAAGAAACTCAGTGAGACCTTGTCTCCAATAAAATACAAAATAAGGCTGGGGATGGGACTCAGTGGTTAAGTGCCCCTGAGTTCAATCTTTGATACCAAATAAAATAAAATAACAATTCTGGAAATGGATGGTGATGATGATTGTACAACAGTGTGAATGTACTTAATTAAAATGAACTGTATGCTTAAAGAGTTAAAATGGTAAATTTTATGGTATGTACTTTTTATCACAATAAAAACAAAAATAGCCAGACATGGTGGCATATGCCTACGATATCAATTACTCAGGAGAATCCTGAGTTCAAAGTCACCCTGGGCAACTTAGCAAAACCTGTATCAAAATAAAAAGGGCTGCTGATGTAGCTCAGTGGTAGGGCATCCCTGGGTTTACTCCATGCGCATGCATGCTCTCTTTCTCTCTCACATGCACACAAACAACAATCAACATTGTCCTTTGAGATAATGTCCAAATTCTGCAAGGCAAATACCCCAATTTTCTGCAATCCATTTCCACCTTTCCCCTCATTGTTCCTTGAGTGGAGGGACCCTTTCATTCACCCTTGTATCTTAGCACCTAGTAGCACAGCTGACACAGCATAATGGTTTGTTACAACTGTCTGAGCAAATGATTTCTCACCACTAAACATTTTGTTATTCCTTGAGTAACCAGAGTAACCAGTTGTATATTTCCATACCTCCAAGCCTTTACATGTTGAGTCACTGTTCCTTAAATATCATTCCCTTCTCCACTCTGCAAACACCTCTTAATTCCTTAGGACCCAGAATTATCACCCCTTCTGTTAGGTGTCCCTCCAAAGAGATGATCATTTCCACTTTCATGCTCTCAAAGCATTTTATACAAGATTTCACCCTCTACTTAACATGCACTATTATTTATTTACATGTCTTTTCCTGACCATTCTGTGCTCTCCACGAGAATATGTCTTTTTTTAACAGTTCTAGTACAGAACTTGGCACACAGTAAGGACTCCCTTAAACGTTGCACAAATGAGCAGCTGATTTTAATTTTCCACAAACTCCAGGCTTCCCTGATTAGCCTCTACCTGGGACTGAGTCCCCAGCTGTTAGCTTTATAGCCTCAGAAATTTAAACCTAATTTGCTTTAGCTGCCAAGTGAGTCCAGGAAAGAACCCTGAAATCCTAGAGGCCCTACAATGGACAGTTAGTTCTATGATAAGAAAAAGTCAGAACTCCATACCTGGTGCCCACTCTTACAGGTATGGTTCTTAGTTCTTGTTCTAGCTCCCGTAAAGATCAGGGCACATTTAGAGATTCACTTTGCAAACATAACAATACAGCTGGAAAGGATATCAGAGGTAAGTGGTGGCCCATCTACTTCATTTTACAGATGAGGAAAGCGAGATCCAAACAAGAAAAGTGGCCTGCTGCACAGCCCTAGAATTAATGGCAGAGTCCAACTAGAACCCAGGTCTCCCTCTTCTTCATGACACCAGGCTGCCACTGGCAACCGAATCCCCAGACTGAGGTTCATGGGAGCCCAGGTCAAGATCAGTTGTACCACTGATTCGCTGGGGAAGCTGAGGCTGATCTAAAACTTTCCAGGATTTCTGTTTCCTCGTCTGTAAAACAGAGTAGAAAATTATCAGAATCCTGGCACATCAGTGAGCAGCAAATGAGATAACGAATGGGAAAGGAATTATTATGTATTAGCAACAAAACTCCGAGCGGGGCGAGATGGTGTAGGGAAACCTATGAGGCGCCCAGAGACGTGGGTTCCAGTCCCGTCGTCTCTGGGCCTCAATTTCCTCTTCTGCCAAAACGGGAACTGGCCTAGCAGACGACCGCTGCGCTTCCAGCTCTGCCGGCCGAGGCCCTTCCCCGGGGACACCAGCGCGGAAGGCTGGACCCTAGCGGTGAGGACGAGGGAGCTCGCGGGCGCCTCGAGTTACCATCTTGCAGCAGCGCTGTCTTCTCTGCCGCCCGCAGACTCTCTAACCAGCCAGTCACCGCCATCTTCCCTCCGCCCAGCCACGCGCACGGACGCTGCCATGGCAACTGTTCCGCCGAGGGTCACTTCCTGCTGACCCGGATGGAATTCTGGGCATTTGCCCTTCCCTCTTACCCACTTCGTCCACTCTCATTGGCTCCTCTGGTAAGTAGTTTATTCCTTCTCGCCCGGTGACTCTCCAAGATCCAGAGTTGATCCCACATTGAGAAGGACTCTTAGGTCTGGCCCGGTGGAGGTCTCTCCCCTGGCTCCCAGCTGGGAATCCCTGGCCCGTGCCAGCTGTGCACGCGGCGGGTGCACCACACCTGCCTGAGTCTTCTCCATCCCCAGCTGTGAGACCGAGATTCCCCCAGTCCCGGAGAGCGCCGCACACCTGCTATGGCAGTGCCCTCTTTCCCCGCAGCTGCGGGACTCACCCCCCCCACCCGCCCCATCCTGAGAGTCCTGCGCCGCAGGCAGGTGCAGGCTGTTCCCGGCGCCCCCCAAACCACCCTCCCAGGTTTTCCTCTTCAGTTGTACCCTTGAGAGGTAGCTATGTGGGGTTTACGGGCAGGTGTCCTTCCGTCTCTACTCCTTTGAGGAGATGAAGAAGACCTTCCTAAATAGTTCATTTCCCTACCTTGGTGTCTTTTTGGTAAAACACTTTGGAAGTGGGATGCAGCACGGGCAGACTGCTGAATCTTCAGTGCAACTCCTTTGAGGACTGCTATAATTTCCTACCTCTCAAAAATAACCTCAATAGTCCCTGTGTTCCCCTCGCTTCCCCCAATGCCAGACTAAACAACCCGTGAGTGTAGAGCTAGCTAAACCACTGAAGTTTGATTGAGTTTTCTGAGATCCCTGGAAACTGGGCTGCTGCCCTCAAGGTCTGGTTGATAGAGGCTCCATCTCTATATGCAAATGGGTTGGGAGAACTCAGTTTTGGATTTCTACATGACGTCTGCCCTGACCAACCCTTAAACAGAAAGGATCCAGCCATACTTCAATGGACCCCAGGGGCATCTTGAAGGCATTTCCCAAGAGAAAGAAAAGTCATGTCAATCCATCATCAAAAGCATTGACAAAGATTCCCAAGAGGGAAGAGGGAGAAGAAGCAGGAGGTGAGCAGAACTCTCATGCACTTGAACCCTTGGCCTTCCCATTGTTTGGCCCTACTTTGTTCCTGTCCAGAATCAGGTATCAGAACTGAGGCAAGCTATCTAGGACCTTCAGGTCTTTGTACCTGACTTGGATTAGCCATATCTTTTCTTTTTTTTTTTTAATTTGGGTACTGGGGATTGAACTCAGGGGCACTCATCTGAGCCACATCTCCAGCCCATTTTTTTTTTTTTTAAGCGATGGGTCTCACTGAATTGCTTAGTGCTTTGTCATTGCTGAAGCTGGCTTTGAACCCACTATCCTCCAGTCATAGCCTCCCCAGCCTCTGGGATTACAGTCCTGGGCCACCAAGCCCCGAAGTCACACATCTTTGATAGGCAGCTTTCTGTTTCCCTTCTTCCCCACCTAAGACCTTCATCAGTCAGAATATACTCCCTAATCCCTCAGGAAATGACTGGTAGAATTCTTTACTCTCCAGGAGGCTGCCCCAACTGCAGACAGAAATTCCCCTTGATGCTAGGAGTGCTAAGGCATAAACATCATCACAAGTTTGAGGCCAGCCTCAGCAATTTAGCAAGGCCCTGAGCAACTTAGCCTCAGGCTTGTAAGTTGTTTGGGGCCCTATTGACAGAAAGATGGCAGAGGCTTTATGGGGAGTGGGAGCAGGAATCAGATCTGCTAGACTGTGAGGGCAAGAAACAATAGAAGAAACATGCTTTGTTGAAAGAATAAATGATAAAGTGACTCTGAACTGCAGTTCAAAGTAGGGAGGGATAAGGCATTTATTTACTCTTTTATTTAACAAATATTTATAGGCTACATACAATGTGCCAGACATTGTTCTTTGTTACACCAGAAAACAGGATAAATAAAAATTCTCACCCCTTATATTCCAGTGATTGCCTATGAGGAAGTTGGCTGTATGCTTATAAGGTAGAATCCCCAGAAGGCAGACTGTGTGGATGGAAGGAAAATGATTGTTTTAGGCAGAGAGGACTGCAAACATGTCATTGTGATCATATCTAAAAATTTTGATAATGGGCATCTAACTGTCCCTCCCACAGAGTGGCTGAGCTCCCTGCGGGCTCACGTTGTGTCCACTGGCATTGGACGAGCCCGGGCAGAACTCTTTGAGAAGCAGATTGTTCAGCATGGTGGCCAGATATGCTCTGCCCAGACCCCAGGGGTCACTCACATTGTGGTAGATGAAGGCATGGACTGTGAGAGGGCCCTCCGCCTCCTCAGACTGCCCCGACTGCCCCCAGGTGCTCAACTGGTAAAGTCAACCTGGCTGAGCTCCTGCCTACAGGAGAGAAGACTGGTGGACACAGCTGGATTTAGCATCTTCATCCCCAACAGGTGGGCTGGTTCCTCAAATGTTTTCTGGCAGCATCTTGAGTCTATTCTTGAGCTATTCCAGATGACTATTTTCTCATTTATTTTGTGATACTGTGGATGGAACTCAGGGCCTTGCATATCCTAGGCAAGCCCTCTACCTGCACCCCCAGCCCTACTTTTAAAATTAGACACATTAGAAAACTAAGGTTTCAAAATAGAGAAGGATTGGGGATGGAAATAGGATGAGCCTTTGGGTGTCTTAACCTCCTGTCATCATCCCCCAGGTATGTGGATCAACCACAGCCCAGCAAAGTGGACCAAGACTCTTCTGCTCCTCCTGGCACTCATGGGATTCTGCCTAGGACAGCCCTTTCTCCTCTGCCTCCTCCTACCAGAGCTGTATCTCCTCCCCAAAAGGCAGAAGAGGCACCAAGCTCCCAAGTCCAGGTGAGGAGCCTCCTAGCCCCCTGGGTATCTGATCATAGAAGTGGGGAACATCAGAAGGTACCAGGCCCCTGAGACAGTAAGTCTGTCTTGATTTAGCACATACTACTCAGAAGCCCAGGGCTGGACACTGGGAAAGGGAAGCCACATAGTACATGTCCCAGTGCTAAAGGAGACCTAAGCTTGATGCAGAAGCCCCAGCCTCAATGTTGGGTCTGAGAAGGAGACACCCACACATGCAAAGACAACTCCCACTTTTGAGGTGTCCTCCTCACGGAAGGAAAGAATTTATTAACTCTTCTTCCCTACTTCAAGCCCAGCTCCGATGATGAAACCAGTGATGGGGAAGGGCCCCAGGTTAGCACAGCTGATCTGGAAGCTCTGATCAGCGGCCGTTACCCAACCCCACCTGAGGGAGATGGCGAGCCTGGCCCAGTCCCAGAGGCCCTGGATAAGTGGGTCTGTGCACAGCCCTCAAGCCAGAAGATGACCAACCACAACCCACACATCACAGAGAAGCTGGAAGTGCTGGCCAAAGCCTACAGCGTCCAGGGAGATAAGTGGAGGGCTCTGGGTTATGCCAAAGCCATCAATGCCCTCAAGAGCTTCCACAAGCCTGTTAGCTCCTACCAGGTACTTTGGAGGTAGGGTAGTGTTGGCCGGGACATCAGGCTTAATGGTTAAGATTTTATGTTTGAGAGACTTTCACAAAGAAACAAAATGGGAAGTGAAAGCAGATTAGCAAAAAATTAATCTTGAGAATTGTTGAAGGAGGTGATTGGTGCTTGGGGGTTCAATACAGTGTCCTCTCTGTTTTTAAGTTTTCTGCATATTAAAAAGTTTAAAACAAAATTCTAGACTCTGGAGCCTAACAGACCAGGGTTACTAACTGTGTGACAATAGGCAAGTTACTTAAACTTCCAAGCACCAGTTTTCTCAACAATAAAAAGGGATTAATAATAGCAACTCATTCATGGTGCTCTTACGAGGAGGAAATGAGATGGTCCCTGGTGCACAGAAATGATATACAGTAAGCACTCAGTACATGTTGGCTCTCACTATTGCCACGATGATGATGGTGGTGGTGGTGACTAGTCCTATCATTATTCGCCACTTCTTATCATTGGTCTCTATTCCTCTGGGAACTTAAAGACAAGTTACCCAGCTCATATTCCATCCAAACTTCTCATCTTCAACTGTGCCCAGGCTTTCTTTTTTTTTTAATTTTTTAATATTTATTTTCAAGTTTTTGGCAGACACAACATCTTTCTTTGTATGTGGTGCTGAGGATCGAACCTGGGCCACTTGCATGCCAGGCGAGCGCGCTACCGCTTGAGCCACATCCCCAGCCCTGTGCCCAGGCTTTCCACAGCCACACATTTGCCTGGCTGACTTTTCAGCAGACATCTACTAAAGGAGTCTACTTTAACCTACCCCTGGTTCTCCCTAGCTGCTTTCTCAGTCTTCTTCCTTACCTCTGTCCCCATCCTCCTCTAGGAGGCCTGCAGCATCCCTGGGATTGGGAAGCGGATGGCTGAGAAAATCATGGAGATCCTGGAGAGTGGGCATCTGCGGAAACTGGACCACATCAGTGACAGCGTGCCTGTCTTGGAACTCTTTTCCAACATCTGGGGAGCTGGGACCAAGACTGCCCAGATGTGGTACCATCAGGTCAAACCATGGCTCAGCTGCCATTTTAGTATTGCCATGTTTCAGAATTCTGACCTTATAAGTCCCTTTGCCTTGTTACCAGGGGTGACCTGGGTACCATTCTGCTACCCTGTATGCTGACGAGAATGAACCTAGACTATAGGGAGGTAACTTCTCAAAGGCATCAGTTCTCAAATAAGTCCATCTCCTGGCTTCTAGAACAGCCATGAGGCTTGGTATCCTTGTGGTGTTGGTAGGAACAAGAAGTATATTTCTCTGTCCCCCAGAATAGCACGTGTCTTCCTGAGAATTCAGGACGTTCAGAGGAAATGTTCCTAGAAGAGTAGATCCCAAATCTAGCCATGCCCAGAATTATCTGGGGGCATTGGTTACACTGAAGAGGCCCAGGCCCATCCCCAGACCAGTGGTGCCATGAATTAGCATCTCTGGATTATGGCATGTCTTCTAGGTCCCTAACTTTCCCAGGTCCCATGAGTACAGACCCTCCCACACCTGAGGTTGGTCCTCTCTCAGGCCTTGAA